GAGAGAGGGCTGTGGGATTCGAACCCACGCCTTCACAGCGCCAGAGTGCAGCCTTGACCACTACACTACCCCCAAACCCCCCGGGCAAAATAATAGGACGGGCAACAAAAATAATCTTATAGCCGGTCGGGGTTTGAAATCTAGAGTGCATAGGCACACATTGTTGGAGGAGTGTGTGGGCAGGATCGTGTTCCTGAGCTTCAATTTGCAGTATATCCCTAACATATCAGAGCGAGCATGTTGCTACATTCTCATGCTATGATGTGGACTTACCTTTTGAATGACAAATAGGCTGGATCAGAGAAGATCGAATGTCGCCAAATGGGAAAGCAGGGGCGGAGTTCCATCATGAGCAACGAGTCTTGTATAAAAGTCTTCCTGAACATTATGATCACCTGTACAAATGCGTTTTCAGCGACGGTAGACTGGATAGGATCGCCAGGACCGAGTTCTTTTGTCACCAGTCGGTCATGTCATTCGCCGATCGTCGGGAACAACTTCTTTGCAGAGGCTGGTAGGTGGGTTAAGGGCGGCACGTGCAAGATAAAAGAATCGACCATATGTGGGGAAGTCTGCCATTGATCGCATCAATTCTCATGGAAGGTTGGTGAGATATGCGCCGTTTATCGTTGTGTTGTTCCATCGGTCTTGGCGTCGTGTTTGATCCATGTTCGCACACACGTTACCCGCCATACGAGCTGATGAGTTGCAATTGATATGTGTCTTTTTGTAGGACCTGATACCAGGAGAAGAGAGAGTCTTGCCGATCGATTCCCGTTGAGAAGAGTAAGACCATTCCTGTGCCTGGCGGGGCGGTTTTATCTTCATTTCGTATTGAGTCCCAGCTATGCCCGGGACTTATGCCAGGGAATCAGAGAGTCCCCCGCCATATCAGTCCTTATTGCCCGCAAAACTTGGCATACACAGACTGGTTCTGTCCCGGTGGTTCTGTCTGTAGCATTCCCCTTGGAGTATGGGCAGGGCCAAAAAAAAAAAATGAAGGTCGGAACTTCAAAAAGGCATGTGGGCAGAACAAAGAATGGTACCTGAAGAACGGGGTGTTTATAGACGAAGATATAAAAAAAATGACTGAACTACTCCCTAAACGTGGTTCAGTTTTCACTCAACATTGGTTTTATACACCCGACTGTTGTCAACCGGCAGCAGACACATTCTTACATCCGATCCACTTCCACACTTACTCTGGTGCCACGTTATATCTTCCTTCGACAAGCTTATCCTTCTACAAAAATAATCCAATTGCTCTCCAACACCAAGCAAGCTATTACCCTGATCAAGTATGGACAA